ATGGGAACCAAAATCCAATTCTCCTTCTTCATCGAATGTCACGTCTCGACTGATCATCATCTTCCCATTGTTTAGATTATACAGCTTATAGCCTTTTGAAATTGAGTCATAGCCGATGAAGATGAATTTCTCACTTTTGTCGTCGAGTTTGGTCTCTTCTCGTCTGGTACATGTACATGGGATATGCTTCCAAAAACTCTTAGATGGGAGATACCTGGTTTTCTTCCACTCCATGCTTCTTGCGGAGTCTTCCCCCACACACTTCTTGTTGGAGACCGATTGGATAGGTAGATAGCACATGCTATAGCTTCTGCGCACCACTCCTTAGGCAATCTCTTGCTTTTGAGCATACTTCGAGCCATGTCGAGAATGGTTTGATTTTATTTCTGCCACACCATTTTGTTGAGGGGATCTTGGAACTGTCAATGGTCGACGAATTCCCTTGGCATCACTAAATTCTTGAAATTCCTTCGAAGTGAATTCTCCTCCTTGGCTTTGATCTTGCAACCACTTTCTTTTTCTACGGCGGCTTTGAACTTCTTGAATGCTCCAAATACCTCTGATTTCAACTTTAAGAAATACACCCAGGTTTTCCTTGAAAAATCATCAATGAAGAGAAGGAAATAATTATTTTTACCCAAAGAGCTTGGTTTTATTGGACCGCACACATCGGTGTGAATAAGCTCGAGTGGCTTCTGGGCTCTTATGGTTGACTCATTTGGAAAGCTTTTCCTGAACTGTTTCCCAAGTAAACATCATTCGCAAACTTGATCAGGGTGGCTAATGCACGGTAAGCCTCTCACCATCTCCTTCTTGGACAATAACTCGAGTCCCCCAAAGTTAAGATGCCCAAAATGAAGATTCCAAAGCCAGGATGTGTCTGTGCACTTTGCAACGTCATTTTGAATATTCATAGGAAACATCCTATTCTTTGACATTTTCACCTTGGCAATTAATCTTCCTTTGTCATCTCTAAGAAAGAGGCTATAATTTTTCATGTGAATATCATAACCTTTTTCTAAGAGTTGACCCAAACTTAAAATGTTGCTTTTCATATTGGGCACGTAGTAGACATTTGAAATTACTTGGTGACCGCCATTTTTTAGGGGAATAAGGATGTTACCTTTTCCTTTTACGGGTATTTTGGATTCGTCTCCAAAAGAAACGTTGCCACTCATCGATTTATTGAGCTCTACGAACATGCTTCTTCTTCCGCACATGTGGTTGCTGGCGCCGGTGTCAAGATACCATGTATAGTCTTGGTCTCCATCATTGTTCTGGCATGCTAGTAGCACAAGGCCATTATCTTCTTTCTCTTCTTTCACATAATTGACCTTCTTATCAGGCCTGTTGCTTGGAGCTCTACATTCCCAAGCATAATGCCCAAACTTTTGACAATTGTAGCATTGAACTTGAGATTTTTCATACCTCAAGTTTGAGCGTCCTCTTCCACGACCATTTGTTGAGCTTCCTTCTCTTTCGTAGTTGTTATGATTGTTGAAGTTCCAACCACGTCCACGTCCATGTCCACGTCCGCGACCTTGACCACGACTTCTTTCGTACTGGCTTCTCTCGTTGTCCAAGCTTTCTTCTTTCTTCTTTGGCTGGACATGCGTCTTGAGGAGCTGCTCATCATTCCCTTGCCTCTTCTTATGTTTATCTTCATATGCTTATAGCAAACCCATTAATTGTTCTATACTAATTTCTTCCAAGTTTTTAGTTTCTTCAATCGTCACGACAATGTGCTCGAACTTGGGGTCCAACTAGCGTAGTATCTTCTCCATAATTCTAACATCTTCTAACTTTTCTCTGTTTCTTTTTAATTGATTGGAAACGGCTAAGACTCTTGAGAAATAATCAAAGATTGATTTAGACCCTTTCATATGTAGAGATTCGAACTCACTTCTTAATACTTGAAGACAAACCTTTTTCACTTGTTCGGCTCCTTTGTAAGAGGTTTGAAGCTTCTCCCATGCTTGCTTGGCCGAGGTTGCACTCGAGACCTTCTTAAAGCCATTGTCATCTAATGCTTAGTAGATGAGGTAGAGAGCCTTCTGGTCTCTCTTTCTTGAGTCTTTCAAACTCTCATTCTGGGGTTGGGACAAAGTAGCTTCATCTTCTGGCTCAGTGTAGCCTTTCTCCACGACTTCCCAGACATCATGTGCTCCCAAAAGGGCCTTCATTTTGATACTCCAATTATCGAAGTTGTTGTTGTCGAGCACTGGAACTTGGAAGGCTGCCATAGCGTTGCTAGCCATAGCTCTGATACCACTTTGTTGGGGTTTAAAAAGACTTCACTACTTTAGAGATGTTTATCTCACAAAGAAGAATGTAATGCGGCGGAATTGATAGGCAAGAGAAAGAAAGAATACTCAAGGTATTACACAAGATTTTTTATTCACTCACAAACTTAGTACAAGATGAAACACTCAAACACTCTTAGAAGCTTTGTTGCTTCTTCCCACTTCTCACTACTTGCTTTCTTGGTTGTTTTCACTTCTTCTTGCTACTTGCTTTCTTGGTTGTTTCAAATGGTGTGGATGCCTTCTCCTTTTATAGGCATGGATGGAACCTTGGAGAAGCATGGAAACATAATGCTAGATATATCTAGATAATTCCATTACCTTCCTATGCTAGAATTATCTACACTAATCTTGTATGTTGGTGGAATCCTCACAATTCTTCTAAACTCTTCCACCAACTTGAACTTTGCTAGAATTCTCTAGCATGTGTATGGATCTTTCTTTGTGCATGGACTAGATCCATTATCTTTGGGCCAAGACAAGATTACAATTCAACACCTTTGTCGTTAAAATTATCGAGGGCCTTTTCGACTAGTGAGGGTGTGGAAAGACGAAATGGGCCATTGATGCCGAGACCGCTTTCTCCATTAACGTCGACGACATCGTTAACGGTGTTACGTTGCAAACTGTGTCACACCGTCTCGAGCTCCCTAAGCTAATAACACAAATAAATAACATTTATCTTCAAATATTTGCTACTTTTATAATTTACATCCACGACATTTATTTTTAAATAATTACAATGCCTCCAAGTCAACAAAGTTTTCTGCTCTGTTTTGCGAGGGCCAAGAAGACGTTGGTACGCAGCAAAGTGTTACATAGTCTTTCACAAATATACACGGATCGACTCTGAAGTGTTACATCTATTATGCATATGATACGATACAACAGTTGCTTTTTTCTACAAATTAAAAAATGTTAATGATACAACAATGCTAACAGAGTACAAAGAATAATGGTTATGCAACTCTCTGGGTGGTGGAGAATGTACAGAAATCTGATGTGTCAAAACTATGGACGAAACTCTGATGTGTCAAAATTATGCTTTTGCTTCCGTTTCCGCCTCCCCCTCCGCCCAGTAATGACTCGAGGTTACCTGATCCCTTTGGATGAAAATCCACCGGTGACTCCTGGCGCGCTTGGATTTGGAACATTCGTGAACATAATCCCTGAGGCATGCTCCCTTTACAACTGCCTGCTTATTTCTGGCTTGCTTTCAGCTTCCGCAAAAACGGTAGTATCTCTGTATATGAGGGATCACTGCGGCTAAGTGGTTTGCACGAGTTTATGTGATCTGTTGAATCTAATACCTGTTCCAAAGTTACAAATTAATGCCGAAAATAAACAGACATGTAGAATATGGAACACTAATTACTGGAAGCAAGTTATAGTCTAGGGTTTGTTAGCATCATTTTTTTAGGCAGATGACCTAACCGATTTTTTAGCGATCTACATTTGTTTGCAATCATACTTACAACGAGATCACCAAATCCAGGATATGCTGATTCAATTGGTACAATTTCCATTCGGAAGGCCCATCCGCCGTAACCTTCCACAATTGGAGTTACCTTGGTCTGCAAAAGGAGTCATTACCTAATTAACAAGTTCACAAAATCGCATATTGACACAAGCACCACCACAAAACTTTAGAGGTACCTCACAGAAACTGAGGACTTGAAGCATCCCCTTCTTGTGAAGCTGACGGATAAAGTCATTAAGTTCTACTAATCTTGGAGATCCACTTCTTAGCTCCCCTATCTACGAAACATCAAGAAGTAATTCTATCAACATCAATGCAGCAAGATTTGCTGGTCCGAACATTCAGAACCAGCGATCTACTATAGGGAGGAAAACGTTTAGGTTGGAAACATCATATACTAACAGTCGGTGCTGGGCGAAATACAAATCCTATTCTCCAAGGCATGTCTGCTAGTTTGCTTCCAAAATGTGGGCAGCTATAGAAAACCTAAAGCGAGCATAAAACACCAGAGTTCTCATATAGAAAACGATAATAAACAGGTGAAGAACAGCATTGTAAGTGAATTGTTCAATTATAGAAAGGTGCGTACAGCTCCAATGGTGTTTTTCACGAGGTTATCGATATTATCTGCTCTTGCTTTATGCAGTGTTTGCTTGACAACCAGACCTCCCATGCTGCAAATTATATTGTATAAAAATTAGTAATAAACGGATGCTATGAACTGTTTGCCAAAAAAATAGAATATCAATAAAATGCCCCTAGCAAAACCTTTTTTTATTAAAAAAAAACTCTTAGACAACTTTCTTAATCATTAAGGACACCTTTTTGTATTATTGAAGACACTTTCTTTATTATTAAGGACCTCATGAAGTGCTACTCATTTTTGTTTTTCATCCTTATAATACAATATCTCTCCTAGATCCTGCGTAAAGCGGAAGTCGTGTGTACTGGGTACGATCTTTTATCCTTATAATACAATACATGTTCTTAATAATAAGAAAAGTTGACTAGGTGTTTTTCGATGAAAAGAGTTTTGTAAGGGACTTTTTATTGTAAACAAAGGATGCTGTGAACCAAAATAAAGGGAAAGATTGGTTGCATTATTTACTGCACCAAAATTGACGGTGAGAAAAGGAAGACACAAAAAGAAAAACGTCTGCAGCAGCTTCTTCTTTTACTTCTGTTTTGTTTTTTCGGGGATACAAAAAACTCTCTAACAACACACAAGACCTCAAAGACAACCTTAAACCGGTCAAAGTTAGAACTCGAAATTGAAAAAATAAGGAGAAAGAGTGCATTTTATATATGTGTGTGTGTGTGTGTGTGATGACAAAGAAAAAATATATGTTATGGCTACTGTATGATTAAACCGAAACAATCTCGAATCTCTCTCATTCTCCCTTTTCTGATCGACGCAGCACCACCCTCACACCTAGAGACACTCGACGACGTCAGAGCAGCAGCACCACCCTCCCGGACTTTCTCTCCCTCTCCCTTCGTCTCTGTGGAACCCCAGGACACCCAAAACCCAAGTCCGGCGAACCATGGGTGTGCGAGCCCAAATCCAGCCACCTCCGGTCTTCTCTCGGCGAAACAAAGGTAACAAAATTCTTCCCCTCTCTTGTATCTTCATGTTCGTAAATAGATCGGAGGGTAGATTGGCGAAATGGCGTCGACCGGAGCTTGGAAGACTCTGGCCTTGTACCCCGGCGAGAAGCCCAAACCTAAACCATTGTCTTTTAGGCCTTCGGGCGTTGGCCCACTAAATCCCCGAGCCCAACCCAGTTAATTAATTATTCATTCATTGATTTATTTTCTGAAACCCAAAGGGCTTTGGGCCTGGCCTTCAAGCCCAATTCATGTTTAAACCTTGAACCCTGGGCCGGGCTTCCAAGCCCAGGCCCACTTGTGCAACCCAGGGCCCTAACCCTTTTAGAACCCTAGAACCCTAGGCTTTGGCCCGTGATAACCCAAGCTTTCAGCCTATTTACCCTAAACCCAAAACCTGTCAACCCTTGGACCCTAGGCCCAACCCAAACCAAGCCTAGACCCGGTTTGACTTGGTTGACCCTTTGACCCGGTTAGACCAGACCTGGTTGACCCGTTGACCCGAACCTGTTGACTTTGACTCGATTAACGGTCAGCGTTGCCTTTGACTTTGACCAATCAACGATCAACGTTGACTTTTTCAGGTTTTCGTATGAGACTTTTCCTAGGCTAATTTCAACGTCCTAGACCCGTTTTTAATGTCTGTTTTTCCAAATTCAATCATTTGAATATAGTTTTATTAATTGGACCGTTAATGTACTTAGGTGCAATTAATAGCGGCGATTCCGTCATTTCTATTTGGTACAACTCTACGACGATGGAGTATCTGTGAGTGGATCCCTTCTAAAATACATATTTTAATAATAGAAATGAATACATGAAAAACATGATTTAATGATTATGTTTTATGAAATGTTTTATGAGATATTATGCTTACTTAGAATATTTTGGAATAACATATTTTCTATTGAATCCATGTTCTTTATAGGATATCTGATGGATGACGATATACTATTTAGAACATGCTTTTGCACACTTCTTTATAGTATAGATGATGGATAACTTTATACTATAAAGATGTTTTTGAGATATATATACCTATATTTGGAAAGACTATATTCAAAGTTTTGAGCCCCCTTAGGACTTAGAATTGAGGTGTACAATCCTGACTTCAAGGCACTTTTGCATCGCATCTTTCTCTTGGTGTAGACCCATTCTTTTATTCATTCAATTTTATAGTATTTCTTTAGTGTTCGAGTTAGTTGTATACTCTGAATACTGTAGACATTGAAATTTCGTTGAAATAAATGTTAGCCATCGCATTAAAATTACATTTGTAAACATTGAAATTTTAGTGAAATAAATGTTGACCATTGCATTAAAACTACAACATACACCCAAATTCACCTACAACAATCCATCCAAATTCACCTACAACAATCCATCCAAATTCACCTACAACCTCCACCCAAATTCATCTACAACATACACCCAAATTCACCTACAACAATCCATCCAAATTCACCTACAACAATCCATCCAAATTCACCTACAACCTCCACCCAAATTCACCTACAACATACACCCAAATTCACCTACAACAATCCATCCAAATTCACCTACAACCTCCAAATTCACCTACAACCTCCACCCAAATTCACCTACAACATACACCCAAATTCACCTACAACAATCCATCCAAATTCACCTACAACCTCCACCCAAATTCACCTACAACAATCCATCCAAATTCACCTACAACCTCCACCCAAATTCACCTACAACATCCACCAAAATAAATGGATGGTGGTGGTTCATTCCCAAAGTCTATAAATAGGCTCCTCCATCAAAGAATCAGGCGAGGATTTTGGCATACACTTTCTCTACTCCCAAATTGGAAGAGAATTCACACCACACCAAAGCCTTGAAGCCTCGAAACTCTGAAGCTCTCAAGCAAATCCCGAAGGATCAAGAAAGCCCTCTTCGTTCTTCGTGAAATCCTCCTTCAAGATCAAGCCCTAACGCCCCCCTTGGAGAACTTCCACTCATTCAAGATCAAGCCCCGACGGCCCTTGAAGAAGGTGTTCATCACTCATCAACTGTTCGTCCAAGATCAAGCCTCGACGGCCCCTGGATCAGCAACACTACATCTACGCATTTCAAAGATAGAATCAGAGGCCAAATTCGTAGAAGAGATTGTAACCCCTAAATCATTAATACAAATATTTGTTTGTGCACGTTGTTCTTGTAGCTTTCGTTTCAGGAATTTTCCGTGTTTACAAATTTGGCACGCCCAGTGGGACAGTCTCTACCTCTCATCTCTATCTTTGAATCCGCAACAAGCACAAATGGCGTCAAGGAAGGCCCAAGTTGTTCTCGCTGCCAATGCAAGAAACAAGAGCGCCATCACGACAGGGGGCGTCACTTCAGGCATCATAACTCGAAGCAAGGCAAAAGCTCTTTCTGCCGCCTCTTCCGCCCCTGCATCAACTCCGCCGAAGGCACAAGAGCACCCGAGGCACAAACCGGTGATCACCGTGGCCTCGCTCAGGGCGCCAAGAGAGGAAAGCCAGAGGAAGTACTCTGAATCCTTACTTTCTGATGCCGACTCAAGCAGCGGCATAGCTATGCAAGTCATGGTTGTTGGAGCGACTTCAATTGAGGAGCAGCTGGCTCAGATGAGTGAAACAATCGCAAAACTCACAAGGACTGTGGAGGACAAAGACCTACAAATCGCAGCACTCGTTAACCAACTAGATGCAAAGCCCGATGAGAAAGTCAGGCAAGGGGATAATCCAATAAAGAGGGAAAACGACGAGGATGAGGAACCTCCAGTGGAGAACGTCGAAGAGACACTGAAGTCGGACCAAGCGGCGACACTCATGGGGTCTCTCTCTATCCAGCAGCTGCAGGAGATGATCGCCAACACCATCAAGGTGCAGTATGAAGGAAGCTCACATGATTCCGTACTATACTCAAAGCCCTACTCCAAGAAGATTGACGCTTTGAAGATGCCGAGGGGTTATCAACCACCAAAGTTTATGCAGTTCGATGGAAAGGGGAACCCGAAGCAACATGTCGCCCACTTCATTGAAACCTGCAACAATGCTGGAACAGAAGGAGACTACCTCGTCAAGCAATTCGTGCACTCGCTGAAAAGCAACGCCTTTGACTGGTACACCGACCTCGAGCCCGAGTCTATCAACAGTTGGGATCAGCTAGAAAAGGAATTCCTCAACCGCTTCTACAGCACGCGCCGCACCGTAAGCATGCTGGAGCTGACCAGTACGAAACAGTGGAAGGAGGAACCCGTCGTCGACTACATCAATAGATGGCGTTCATTAAGTCTGGATTGCAAAGATCGGCTTTCTGAAACCTCTGCCATTGAGATGTGTGTTTCAAGGCATGCACTGGGGGTTACATTACATTCTCCAAGGCATAAAACCAAGAACGTTTGAGGAGCTGGCAACGCGTTCCCACGACATGGAGCTGAGTATCGCCAATCACGGAAAGAATGAGCCGATCACCCACTTCAAGAAGGATAAGGTGTTCGCCCCGAGTGTGGACAAGACTGGAAAAAAAGCCTGCCAAGGAAACTTTTACTGTCAACACTACCCCCATCAAAAACTCCATCTGCGCCTATCAAGACCACCTCTGCGCCTATCAAGATTTCCTCCAAGACCAAGGCAAATGAGACAAAGAGAAGTGAGCCTCCTCGCACCCAAGACAAGTATAAAAACACCTTGAGAAAGTTGGAGCAAAAGACGTACCCTTTTCCTGACTCAGACGTGGATGCGATGTTAGATGACTTGCTGGAAAAGAAGGTAATTGAGTTACCAGAGTGCAAGCGCCCTGAAGAAATGAATCGAACGAACGATCCTAGGTACTGCAAGTACCATCGTATCGTAAGCCATCATGTGGGCAAGTTCTTCGTCCTCAAAGAACTCATTATGAAGCTAGCGCAACAAGGGAGAATCGAGCTAGACCTTGAGGACACAGCCGCAACACATACTACTACGGTGGCGTTCGGATCCTTCGATCCCGTGCCTCTCCAAACGACACCCGACCATTCCTATCAATGTGCAAGCTACACGGCGCCATCTACTCAACCATCGCCGGGGGCAAACGAACAAGATGCGTATACTGATGATGATGAAGGATGGACATTGGTGACCTACAAAAAAACAAGGAAACCAAAACCACAAGCCACAAGACCAAAGGTGGAACAAGTGAGAAAAAAACCGTCGCCGCAACAGTAGGAAGCCTAAAAAGAAACGTAAAAGTCAATAAGCCAACGTATGCTGGGGAACCCATGGAGCAAGAGCCACGCATTCCTGTCTCCTTGCGCGAGTACTTCCCGAATGACTTCTTCCAACAGTGCACTATCGCTGCATGCCATATGGTCGAAGTAGAAACGGAAGAACCTCCAAAAGGCAAAGATATCACCACTGAGGGAGAAAAAACTCTCACGCTCGAAGAAGGTCTGCCAACACATTTTTAGCATTGAGGAAGCGCTACGATTACCAAAGAAGATGCGAATAGCATTAGCAGCGGTCTTGGAAAGTCCCAATGAACATGAAGTGCAAGAAAGCAAGAACGAAGGCTTGAAGCTTCGGCCACATGAATGTGCCCACATGTTGTGCTATCGAGGATGCAATCCATTTCACCGACGAAGACTTGCTGCTAGGATCCAAGCCTCACAACCGTCCTCTCTTCATCTCTGGGTATGTAAAGGGGCACAAAGTCAACCGCATGCTCGTGGATGGTGGATCAGCCATAAACATCATGCCAAAGTCAACAATGACTACAATCGGCATCAAGGCAGATGAGCTGTCCCTAAGTCGTCTACTAATCCAAGGTTTTAATCAAGGAGGACAAAGAGCGATGGGCATGATCCGAGTGGAGATGACTATTGGTGAACTCAAGTCGAGCACGATATTCCACGTGATTGATGCAAGAAAACTTCCTACGGCTTACTCTTAGGAAGGCCTTGGATCCATGCGAATGGAGTAGTACCGTCCACCCTTCACCAATGCTTAAAATTCTACCGAGAAGGAGTGAAGGTGATCTATGGCGACACCAAACCATTCACTGAAGCCGAATCACATTTCGCAGACGCCAAGTTCTACATGGATGAAGACATGGTACCCGAAGCTCTTCCAAAAGAAATCAAATCCACGGGCAAAGCAACACCTAAAAAGCAGGAGCGACAAACCATGCCCAAGAAGCAAGAAGAAGAAGTTACGCCGTCTTCAAGCAAGAACGATAATGAGCTGGCTAAACGAGCAACAACAAAGGGGAGTAGGATGCCCTCAAATGGACCAAACATACCCGTCTTCCGATACATCCCGATGTCGAGAAGAAAGAATGGTCAATCTCCGTTTGAAACTGGAGCAAACAAAGCCGATGCACAGAGGCATATGGATAATGTAAAAGTTGCTCAAGACGAATGCAGTTTTACCTCTGACACAGCTAGGCGGCACTAAGGTCGCAAGACTACCACAAGGCTTCATAAAAGCTCTACCAAAGGGGGTGGAACCGAGCTTTCTCCCAACCCAGAGGGCCGAAGAAGGTTTTGATCCAAACGCCTATAAACTCATGTCGAAAGCTGGCTACGACTTCGCTTCTTCTTCGAATCATGAAAAGAAGGTTTCAAACACCATTAACAATAAAGAACGTGACCTCACCGAGACTCAAAAGAAGTTGAAGAAGCACGGTTACGGAGTTGATAACAACAAAGCTGGACTAGGCTTCACACCAAATGCACCCGTGAAGATTTCAAGCAAAGCGAAAAATGCTAGCACCCAACACATCAGCGTGAGTATTGA